CCCCCCCCCCGACTAAAATGTAACATTTGTGAAACCAAAAAAAGAGGAGAAAAATGTATTCATAATCCCATCAGGCTATGCAAACGGTCTTTAAAAAAAGGACCTCCTGGGGCGCCTGGGTGGCTCAGGCCTTAAGCGTCCGACTTTGGCTCAGGTCATGATCTCATGGTTCGGGGGTTCAAGCTCAGAGCCTGGAGCCTGCTTCAGATTCTGTGTCTCCCTCTCCCTGCCCCTCCCCCACTCGCGTTCGGTCTGTCTCTCTCTCTCAAAAATAAACATTAAAAAAATATATTTAGAAAAATTTAAAAAGGACCCCCTGATATATTTTCTTATATTTTTAAAAGATAGATATTTGTATGTTTGTTTGTTTATTTTGAGAAAGAGAGAGCATGAACGGGGTAGGGGCAGAGAGAGAGGGAGAGAAAGAGAATCCCAAGCAGGCTCCGCACTGTCAGTGCAAAGCCTGACGGTTTCGTTTTCCTTATGGAATAACTAACATGTGGAGGAATACCTTTAGATATGTTTCTAACTTCAGAAAACTGGTGGGTTTTTCTTACACTGGTTGAGGTCAGTGGAACCAGATTTTATTTGGCTGTTTAATTATCCTAGAGCTGCCATGAGCGAATTCAAATTCCTATGAAAAACAGTTTATAAGTTCAAGTACTCAGATGCAGTTTTCTATAAGAAATGTTTAAACAGACGAAGCTTACTGCAACAAATATTCAAAGCCATAAAGCACAAGTCAACAGTGTTTGCCATGGAATCGGCAAACTTTAGAATGTTACAGTAAAGCTCTTCGCTCTTTCTTGTAAATAACAATTATAGCAAATATTTATAGAGCCTCGACTTTGCTCTAAATGCTTTTATGTATATTAATTCATTAGAAACTCACTTTTATGATGACGAGCTAGGGGGAAAGTTTAGATTTCATTTAAGTTTCCTGGTTACTGGTATATAAATATTTGCCGTTTGCTTCTTCGTAATCTGTATAAACAAAGGGTAACAGCCAACCTGGTGCTTTGCGTTCTCGAAGCCCCTTGAGTCAACAACTTTATTACCTCACATTTCTTCCAAGGCTTCTCATTAACGGCAGCTGAAGCCCGCGACTTCTGATTTCGTCTTTAATTATTTACCAAGGTTTGAGTCCTAGAATTTGTGGTTCATCGTGTTCAGTTTCTGTAGCTTCGGCTTCGAACATTCTGTTTGGGTTTAATTTTTATTCTATCCTGTAATCGCTGTAGAAACCTGGGCATGGTTTTGCCTTGCTTACTTTTCTCATGTGAAAAACAAAAAACAAAAAAAAACATGGATACGACTAGCGCCTACCCCATAGGGCTGCTGGGAGGATAAAAAAGGAAAACTCAGGCCAAGCTGGCTATGTGCATACGTGACATCCCTCATGACCTTGTAACCTGAGACCACTTAATCAGACTGCGCGTTTGTACGTTACCAGATACGGGAGACAAAGAAGTAGCAAGTACATAAAGAACCACGCCCCATGGCGTTCGGGGCTCAGGTGCAAACCCAAGTGAGCTGTGCCGGCACAAGTAAAGTTACCTCCTGGAAAGAAAAGCCTCAGCGTCACCACTAACAGCAGCATTTAATGGCTGTGTAATGAATGATCCAGTTAACGGTTTGCCATGCTTCGACTACTAGACACTATATTTATTCCTGATGCTCCACTGTATGTGTATATATATATATATATATATATATATATATATATACACACACATATACATATATATGTATATATATGTATATGTATGTATATGTATATATATGTATATGTATATGTGTGTGTGTGTGTGTATATAGCTGCAATTAATATGTATGTGCACATAGTTCAAGTCTTTCCTTAAGAGAGTGTCCCAGAAACGGACTGACTGTCTCCCACACGACTGTTTGGAGAGGATGAAAACCATGTCAGGTCATTCTCCAGAGCCCCTTCTTCTCCCTCCCACCGTGGTGTCGCTCCCCCTTACCCCTCGCAGGGGGATGGGGAGTCTCAGGGAGGGGGGAAGAAGGGTCGGGGCTCTCTCAGATGACCGTCCCCTATGGTACATCTTCTTCCCTCCCACACCACCCAGCCCTACTCAACTGGAGTGATATGTGAAATAAAATGTGGAATCTCTCCTAGGGCCATTTGCATTTTAACAGTGACTGAGACCTTGAGCCAAAGGAAAAGCAGGCTAATGGTATATCTCGCAAGACAGTAGAGAGCCAGCCGGCATGGTGTGAATCCTTTAGTCTTGGGAGAGAAGGATGAAGTGATCATCAGCTTATGGACCCAGCGTCCTAAATCGGGGCCTGTCATTAGCTTGGACTAACGCACAGGTGGAAGGCATCATTCGCCAGCCTTTTCCCCATCGTGGCACTCTTGGGAAATGAGAACAGTTGTATGCCATGTCGGGGGAAACGGAGGAAGGTGCTTGAGCCCAGAGGTGCCCACCAGGGAGCCCCAGTTGCCCTGAGAGCTCAAGGGATCGGTGTCTCAGCAAACCTGTCCTGTTGCAGGCACTGAGCTGTGGGCACTCACCAGTGTCCAGGCAGGTCCAGGCCAAACTCTGCCCTGTCCCTCCTGTCCTCTGGCTCCCCTTTCTGGGGTGCTGTTCTCATCCCATCATGCCCTGCTCCAACACCCACTCCCTTCCCCCTTTTGCTGGCTGGGAATTCAAGCCCCTTCACGTTCTGGTCTCAGTGGGTGCCCAGTCCCATCTCGCGTTTGCTCCCATTCAAGGATCCTGTGTTCCAGGCAGGCAGTCACATCATGCCCCACAAACACCACATCTGTTCGGGCCTCTCATCCTCGGTTCACCTGGTCCCCCTTCTTAGGATGCCCTGTATTCATCCCCTCCCCCCACCTTGGAATCTTGGTCCTCTCTCAAGACCTATCCCAGCCCCCCACCGCCCTGCCCAACCCTCTCAGGAAGCGGCTCAGTCTGCCCCATCCATTTCCTGTAGACCAGTAGCATTTGCCACTCATATAACCCTTGACCTTTTGTTCTCAGTTACATTTCCAGGTGTGCCTGGCCTGTGTCCAAGCAGACTGAGCAGACACCACGAGGCAGGAAAGGGCATGAGCTCAGAGCCCAAGGACTGCTGTGCTGTGCTGTCCTGGGATTCATTTCCCCGTCTACTCCTGGGGTGGCTGTGGGGCGCACATCAGAGAGTGGATGGACAGTCACTTGTGTATGCCATGCACAGAGTAGGCTCCACTCCAGCAGTGGACCACCTTTCCTTTCTAAAGCGCTGGTCCCTTGGAGGTCATGGGCGAGCGCAGTGGGCTGAAGGTGTGAGTTCAGAGCACTCTTGGTCTCTATCCAAGCCCCAGGATTAGGGGCTGACATCCTACCCTGTCCTCATCACGGGCGCGAGCTCCTCAGTGCCACCTTCTCCCCTCGCCACACAGGCCCCTTCCTGGAGCTGCATATGTACATGACCTCTGCACTGGGCAAGAATGACATGAAGGCCATTGGCCTGCAGATGGCCCTCGACCTCCTGGCCAAGAAGGAGAAGAAGGACTCCATCACGGGCCTCCAGACACGCACCCAGCCTGGGCGGCCTGACTGGAGGAAGGTAAAGGCCAGCGAGGGCCCCACAGCCTGCAGGGCCCAGTGGGGCTGAGAGCCTAAGACAGTGGCTGGGAGATTAGGGCCAGGAAGCTAGGGACCAAGCATGAGGCCAGCATTCAGAGTCCAACCGGGATCCCAGAGCCACAAAGGGAGGCAGGGGACCTACGTTCTGGTGCCATCACTAGCTTACCTTGTCGTATTATTGGCCTCACTTACCCCATCCGTTCAGAGACGTTAGCCTATATGACCTCCTAGGCCTCCCCCAGCCCTAACTCCCTATGAAGGGAGGCTCAGAAGGCCTGAGAAGACAAGGGTCTTGGGGAAGTAGCACCATGTCTTATTGTTTCTGGTACAAATGGAAAAGACTGAGACCCAAAGGCACAGAAATTTACGGTCTTTCTATTTGATTTCTCAGATTGGTTTTCAGATCATTTTTCCTGCTGAGTACTTCCCAATCAGGTGCAGAGTTTGCATGAGGTGCCAGAAGGGACTGCTTTTCAAAGTGCTGGAGACAATTGTCCCCAGTGAGGGAGCAGGACGCTGCCGTTGGTTGGCCACCAAAAAGGACTTTCAGCAGTGGCCTCCTTAAGCAGAATGTGGGGTGGGGAAGCGTCCTCACTGGGGGAAAAGCTGGACTTTAGGAAAGAGACATTTCAATGGAGGCATGTGACCGGGGGAGGACTAGTGTGAGGTCTGAGCAGTCGGGGTTCAGCATGCTCTGGGATTGCCCTCCAGTCCCTGCCCTGCAGTCTCCCCACAGGCACGCTCTGGGAGTGGAAGAACTGGGTCGTTCTGGCCCAGCCCCTTCCTGGGGTCTGGGTCAGGCTGGGGGGTGAGCAAATGGCCCCAAATTAATGGCTGCACGTTGGACTCTGCTCTGAAGCCACATGGCTGTGCCTTGGATTTCCTCGTGGGGACAGAAGGCCATCCCGCCCCCCCCCCCCCATTATGTTGTCAGCTCCAGGTGGGTGGGTACCTGAGCAGGTCCACAGGCCTACTCCCCCTCCCTCTCTCCTAACCCCGTGTGGGCTCCAGGTGTTCCAGAAAGTGGCTGCTGAGAAGAAGGGCAAGGTGCAGGTCTTCTTCTGTGGCTCCCCAGCTCTGGCCAAGGTGCTCAAGGGCCATTGTGAGCACTTCAGCTTCAGATTCTTCCAAGAGAACTTCTAGCCTCACCTCTGCCAAACCCACCCTGCCAGCCGATTTGATCACATTGCTTCTGTGCCCCACAGGGGCCAGCCTCAGAGGGCCTGCCTAGTCCTGCTCCACACCCGGCACAGGAGGGCCCAGGGGCAGATGGACTTCCTTCAGGACCCAGGGGACAGGGCAGTGGCCTGCGCGGGGGCCTCTGTGTATTCTGGGATTGCTGAGAAACTGATCAGACCCAAGGCGCCACGGAGAGGGGTGCAGAGGGCGCTTGCCAGGCGACTGCTCCTCCCAAAGTCCTTGGAGGAAGCCTTCCCCTACAACAGTGGTCCCAGACCTGCCTAATCAGCACAGTCATTCAGGATCTTATCCCAACATTTTCTTATGAAAATTTTCAAACATCAGACAGCTAAACGGATTGTACAGTGAATGGGGTTACCCACTTGCTGGATTCCTCCGTTAACATGCCGCTGTATTTGCTTTACTGCATACTATCCGTCTGCCCCGTTCTGTCTCCACCCATCAATGCATCTTGTCTTTCGGAGGCACTTCAAAGCACGCTTTGCTGCTCAGAGGAGCTTTCTTTCCACGCAGACTCCTGGGCCCCACTCCCAGAAATTCTGATTGCGAAGTTCTGGGGATGAGACCTGGAAGGCATATTTTATTACAAATCCATTCATTCCCTTAGGAAGAGATAAGCAGCTTATTTCCACTTCTCTCTAGGTCACTGTCTCCCCATCTGTGTCCCTTTGCCGTCCCCCGCCTTTCTCTCCCTGCCTCTCTCTACCTCTCCCCTGCGTGTGTCCCTCTGTGCCCCTCCCTTGTTCCACATGTCAGTTTCTCCCTTCTCTCCATGCATGGAGTCATTAGAGAAATACCAAGGTGACAGTCTGGGGGGGGGGGGCGGGGGACATGGCAAGGCTGTGTGCCTGGACACTGGGTAGGTGGCTCCCGGAAGCTCAGTTCAGACCTGGCCCAGCGGTGTAGCCCTGGGAACCCCTCTGAGTCGGATTCTTCATCTGAAAAATGGCGCCCCCGGTCACAGTTGCTGTGAGTAAGAGGAGACATCACCATCCGTACCGTCCGTACTCAGGACACGTGTCTTCCCTCCCTGCCCGTCTCTTTATCTCGGCATCTTCTCGTGGCCCCTTCTGTCACTGTGTGGCCAGAGTACCTGACAGAAACAGCAAATGCCAAAGTTCTCCTAGAAGACACTTTGTGGAAGGGAGGCCCTGGGCTGAGGGCAAGGGAGGGTGGGCTGGCCTCACCTCCTCGGATCTGAGCTGTTGTCCGCCTGCCCCGCACAGCAAGCCCCCGTGAACCACACAGTTCCCGGGAGTCCTCCGTGTTGCGGCCTGCCCTTCTAGTTCTCTCCCTTCAGTGAGAGCCTAAAACCCTCCTCCCCAGAGCTGCCTTCCAGGGGTCCGGCACGTTCCCATGGAAAGTGCTTTTCTTTCGTGTGGGTCGGAAGACCCCGAGGGAGAACAGGTAAAGGAGCTGGGTGACACCCGTGACGATGATGACACCCCTTATAAAAGGTCTGGGCATCCAGGGAGGGAGCTGGGACACAGGTGGGGGGGGGGGGTTGTGCAGCAGCTGAGCGGAGAGGACGATGGAGGCATCACATGGGTGACAAGGAAACAAAGCAGGTGGGAAAAGTTCTCTTCACAAAGCAGCCACGAGAGAAGGGGATGGTGGCTGAAGGAGTTGAAGGGCCCACTGGGGGAGAGGGCAGTATGCTCCGGACTGAGGCAGACAGGAGGTGAGGGGTATGACCCCGGAAGCAGGAGGCAGGAGGCGCAAGAGGAAGAGGAGGCGAGGAGGAGGGACCAAGCACCTGCAGGGAAGGAAGGCAACCGCACTGGGAGGGAAGGTGGGGAGGAGGGGAGCCTCACTGAGCCCCTCTCTGGCTGGGAGCCCCCACAGCTGGGAGACCTGGTGTTGGGGGCCCCTCCACATGTGGCCAGGTTTAATTTCCAACACGCTTGGGGTACACACACAGCTCACACGGAGAAACTCGGATCTGGAGGAGTTGTGTTATTTCACTGAGGTCGCACAGTCTTGGAACCCATTTCCCCCTGCTGGTTTAGGGTTTCCCCCCCAAGTTTCATCAAACTTGCGAAGGCTTGGGGGGGAAACAGGCACTATCTGGAGTTAGAAGTTAACTAAGAGGGTGTCCTGACTTAGGGCTGGGGGATGAAAGAAGAATGGACCAAAGTCATTTGGAAAATTGGCACAGCAGAGTCTGTTTAGCATGGGACTTTCCCTCCTCCACTCCTCCATACAAACAGCCAACTGTCCTTTTAGAATTTTCTCTCACGCAGAGGGTGGGGAGCAGGTGGAGGAACTTGCATATAGATTCTAAAATCCAGTAATGACCTACCACGTGGAGTCCTAAGACTTTCTCTGCAGACACACTCCCATTACCCACTGGAGGGCGCTGCAGAATCAGAGATCGCAGAGGTTTTGTTTGCTGGGAAGGAGACCGGTTCCGGAGTGGCAGTGAATCAAAGGCCGGGGGAGACCGCGCCCCACCCCGAAGCTCGGGCTCCAGTCTTCAGACCCAGACTCGGGCAGTTCTGTGAAGTCAGGAGAATTCAGTTTCAGGATCAGAGTTCCTCTAGCTGCCAGCCCCTAACCCCAACACTCGAATGCATACACAGACCCTCCTTCCCCTGCCACACCCCCCACGTAGCGCTCCCTTCCTGGTCCTTGCTGTCCAGGTTCTGGGCTCCCCACTTTTCCATCTGTAAGTGGAGAGAGCCTGTAGGCCCTGAGGCTCTGCCACCTCCTATCACTGTAGGTGGCAGGATCGATGGGTAGCGTGTCCATCTGGATGTTGCCGGACGTCCAGATGGGGGCCATCCTGCTATCAACTAGAAACGAATGTGTCCATATGGCTGGCTGACTGTTCTCCATAGACACATCTGGGTCTCAGAGGGCTAAGGCAGACACACACAAAGAGAACAGAGGGAACACAGGCGAACTGCGGTAAAGGGCGGATTATATATAGGTGTGTGCTGTCCTCCTCCAACAACCTGTGAGCTCCCCAAGGTCAGGCCTGTGGCCCCAGAATCTAGCACAGAGGGAGGGGCAAAAGGCCTACCCCGCATGGCAGCTCCCAAAAGGCCAAGGGCTTACTGAACTGGAATTATCCTTGGGAAGAAGGGTCCTCTGCATATAACCTGTCATTTGTAGTCTGGGAAACAAAAGCCCACTGAATGAATCACTTTGTCAGGCTCCATGAGGCCACTCTGCACTGAGGACAGCTCTGACAGAGACGGCAGGCGTTCGTGAAGTGATTAGACAGGCCCACCCGGACGAGAGGCACAAGTGCAGTCTATTAACACACCGAGAGCCAACAGGCGCTCACGGGAGGGGACGGTGACACGGGCAATATTGAGAGGTGTCACCAGCCTTGCACACAAAGTCAAGATTAGGGAGGGATTAGAGACACCAGGAGAGACTGGCTCTGGGCAAACACCTTGGAGACGTGCAGTGAAAGGGCCTCCGCCCGCCACAGTCAGGACATTGGTTTCCACATTTGCCTCTGTCCCAGTCGGCTGTGTGACCTTGGATAAGCCCTGTGACCTCTCTGAGCTGTCACTTCCTCGTCTATAAAATGGACACAGTAAGGATGAATATATTTTTAAAAATTACTTTGAGAGAGAGAGAGCTGGAGCAGGGGAGAAGGGCAGAGGGAGAGAGAGAATCTCAAGCAGGCTTCAGACTCAGCGCTGAGCCCGACATGGGGCTAAGCCCATGACCCTGGGGTCATGATTTTGACCTGAGCCGAAATCAGGAGTCAGACGCTCAGCTGCATGAGCCAGCTAGGCACCCCAGAATGAATGTGAATATTTTTAAATACTGGTGTATACATAAAATATATTTCTTTAAAAGATACACATATATATGTGCATATATGTACATATATATATATATATGTATTTGTATCTGCTTTGGGGAGTAGGAATGAGGAACAGGAAGGATTTTCTTTTTTTTATGATTTTTTTTACTTTTCATCTTTTTTTTTTTTTACGTTTTATCTTTTTTAAAAAACTTTTACCCTCCATAAAGTTTGAAATTTCTATGATAAATGTCTGTAGGTTTTATTCTTTTTTTTTTTAATATTTTTAACGTTTTATTTATTTTAGAGACAGGGAGACACAGAGCATGAACAGGGGAGGGTCAGAGAGAGGGAGACACAGAATCTGAAACGGGCTCCAGGCTCTGAGCTGTCAGCACAGAGCCCGATGCGGGGCTCGAACTCACGGACCGCGAGATCATGACCCGAGCCGAAGTCGGCCGCTTAACCGACTGAGCCACCCAGGCGCCCCTATTCTTTTATTTTTTATAAAAGAATATTAAGTAAAAGAAAAAAGAACAACTTCATGTAACCCAAAATACCCTGTGTATGCGTGGGGAGCAGGGGATACATCAGTAGAAATGCGTCAAAAGAATTAGGAGATACAGCAAACATTCACAGTGGTCAGCTGTAGAGGAGGCGAAGGAGGACTTTTGCCTTTTTCTCTTTTGTATTTCATGTATTATCCGTGTACGTTTTATATTATGGTATATAAATTTTACATCATGCTTTTCAGGAATTGCTTGTGTGGTTGTGCTACTTTTTAAAAAACGTTTTTTCTATGTTTATTTTTTAATTTTTTTTTTAACGTTTATTTATTTTTGAGACAGAGAGAGAGAGACAGAGCATGAATGGGGGAGGGGCAGAGAGAGGGAGACACAGAATCTGAAACAGGCTCCAGGTTCTGAGCGGTCAGCACAGAGCCCGATGTGGGGCTCGAACTCACGGACTGTGAGATCATGACCTGAGCCGAAGCCGGCCGCTCAACCGACTGAGCCACCCAGGCGCCCCTTCTATGTTTATTTTTGAGAGACAGAGACAGAACTCGAGTGAAGGAGGGGCAGAGAGAGGGGGACATAGGATCTGAAGAGGGCTCTGTGCTGACAGCAGAGAGCCCCATGCAGGGCTTGAACTCACTGTGAGATCATGACCTGAACTG